TCTCTCTCTCTCTCTCTCTCTCTCTCACACACACACACACACACACACACACACACACACACACACACACACACACACCGGCCAACAGGTAAGTCTCCAACCCTGTGACTGGCTCACGCTATTTTCATCAATAGGATGAGCAAAATCAAATGAATCTTCCGCTAGAAGATCGGAATATACACTACACCCTGCGACTGCGACGTCTTCTGACGATTTGGAAATTTTTCAACGCATGGCGGTGCCGTTTGGTGTTTGGCTGCTGCGGTTTCCTGGCGGTCTGCCGACCGCTCCCATGCTGGCCTGACACCGCCACCCGTTGGCGCCCCACACTTTCACATGGGACCGTCGGGTTCGCCCTCTGCCCACAGCGCCCCTTCCTCTCCAGTTCCCCAACCTGGGAACCGGGTCTCACGTGGGCCATCACGCGAGACCCGCTGTTTCCTTCACGCCTTGTCGTCATTTGTGGTCACGTCGGTGTGCGTGCCGCATGGAACAAAAGACCGGGCGGCCCATGTCACCAAGTACGATTCGAGCTCGGGGCCCTATTTCAAGAGTTTGCAACATCGGCGCCCAGAAACAAACCAAAAATGGGATGTGCCCAGGTCAGTTCTTGTTGCTGTTGCAGCAGACTCATGATGAGCGACCCTTGCTGTGGGAACGGACCATGCCGGGTTGGTGAGCCATCTTTGCGGACGGACTGGTGGTGTGGAGGGGGCCAGATTGGCTAGTTGAATACAAGCCAATGGGGCCCATGGGATGTCATTTGCAAGCAGCAATCTAGTGAGTCCTTTGAAGATGAGTGCTTTAATCTCATCCCCAGGGTCAATGATTGCCAGGCCTCCTTGGGCTCTTGGTTGAGCCAGCTGCACCCATGCTACTGGCTTGACGCAGGCCTGAAGTTCGTGGTCGTTCCTCCAAAGGTAGGAAGCAATTGCTTCCTTCAATTGGGTAATTTGCTTTGGTGGTACGGACGAGAAAAGGTGGAGAGAATTGCATTATTTATGGCAAGGGCTCTGCCAACTAGAGATGTATGCAGTCCCTTCCATCTGGCCATGGATTGCTGTCTGAACCAGGTGCTCACCGTGATCTTTTGTTGGACCTAGAGCCGTAAATCTCACCCCAAGTACATGTATGGCTTCTTCCTTTTTTTTTTTTTTTTTTTTTTTTTTTTTTTTTAATTCATTCAGGAAACATTCAATCATAAATTCTCTGTTTGGCTGGACAAGCTTTGAACTCATGAATTGGGATCAGCCCCCATTGACAGGCGGCTCTTCTGGAGGTAACCTGCTGAGTGGAGCGACCACCCCTCAAGGGCAACTAGAGATGTATGCAGTCCCTTGCATCTGGCCATGGATTGCTGTCTGAACCAGGCGCTCACCGTGATCTTTGGTGGACCCAGAGCCGTAAGTCGCACCCCAAGTACATGTATGGCTTCTTCTTTTGGGCGCCAGTTGACAGGTGGCTCTTCTGGAGGGGTCACCTGCTGAGTGGAGCCACCACCCCTCAGTTTTTTATCCCCAGTCGACTTCCGTATCTGCTGCAATTGAACATAGGTGAATGGTGTCTTCCAGAGCTCGCATACTATTGGGTGTAGCCTTAACGAGTACTGTGAGATCGTAGGCGAACAGCAATGTGATCGGGATCAAGTGAGGTGGTATTTCAGGAATGGAGACTTCCTTGCACAGAGAAGGGCACATGCTAATCTTCTCTTCTCTGCATCGTTCTACTTGTAACGGATGTCACATCTACGTGGCAAAAAGGAAAAGACCATTAGATGGCCTTTTTTTTTCAGTTAAAAAAAAAAAAAGATGGCATTAGTGGCATGCAAGCAGTGTTTTTTTTTTAAGATGGCATTAGTGGCATGCAGGCATGTGTTTTTTTTTTAAGATGGCGTTAGTGGCATGCAAGCAGTGTTTTTTTTTTTTAAGATGGCATTACTGGCATGCAAGCAGTGTTTTTTTTAAAGATGGGATTAGTGGCATGCAAGCACCTATTACAAAAAATAATAATTATTAATTTGAAAATGATTTAAATAAATACAATACCTTTCAGTTTCAATACTGATTCAGAGATACAGCTCTCTCTCTCTCTCTCTCTCTCTCTCTCTCTCTCTCTCTCTCTCTCTCTCTCTCTCATTTAGCCTTTTTGTTTTTTTCTAACACACACACACACACCCCACCCATCCTGGGAGACAGCAGTCCGGTTGCTTATCACTCTCTCTCTCTCTCTCTCTCTCTCTCTCTCTCTCTCTGTCTGTGTATATATATATCGTCAAACATATATATCCGAAAAGGTGTACATCTCTCTCTCTCTCTCTCTCTCTCTCTCTCTCTCTCTCTCTCTCTCTCTCTCTCTCTCTCTCTCTCTCTCTCTCTCATATGCCACACACACACAAGGAGCCCTTGACTCCAAGCGTCCATCAAGGCTGCACCACGTTCACCCGAGCTTCCATGGATTACCTGCTGTAAGTAGTAAGGTCTGACAGTGACCGTTCGGCTGCATTCGATGCAGGAACAAACCGCCAGGAGAGGCGTGGCCGTAACGTTTCTGGGCATCCGGAACTCCTGCTGCTTGCTGCTTTCGTTTTTTCTGGCCTTCCTTGCCCAAGCTGCGCCTTTTGCTGGCAAGACCCTTTGCTGGCAAGGCAGATCCTAGGGAGCATGGAAACCTGACAGGTTGTGGCTGCTATACATACACATATATATTGTCACAGATCTATGAACTAAAAGAGCGCACTCTGTGAAACAAACGATTGAAATAAAAAAAGAAGACCAACATGAAGGGCACACTGAAACCATTCATTTTTCTCATTCTTCTTTTTAACTCCCCCTCCACTGTGCCTCTCACGTACAAGGCTTGACACATTAATGAAGTTGAGTGCGAGCTGCCTGCATCCCCATGTGCCATAACGTCCCACTTGTACGCTGCGAGAAAGAGGCAGAGTAAAAGGGGAGGGGATAAAAACAGGGAAGAGATGGAGACTCATTGGAGAGAAGACAAACAAAGAATGGCAAAGGAAAAGTAAGGGAAAGCACAGAGTGTGGAATGAAGATGAACACAAAGGAGAGGATAAGAAAAGGTTCAAGAATGAATGTGTCCTTGACGACAGAGAGGACATACATTGTAAGGATGAGGTTGATGAACACATGGAAGACCTAGCTGAACATTCTCAGTACAAACAATTGCCACGACGACTGGCATTGAGCATGCACATCATACACCCCCGACAAATGGCATGTCGATTGCAGGCCAAAATAAAGGAAGAACGTTCATCACAGAAGACTATGCATTCAGCATAGCGCCTGACCGCAAAATGGACATATAGTGTCTGGATGTGCCTGCAGTCAGGAACGGAGGGACAGTCCTCTACACACATGGATGCAAAAACCATGTCATTGTACTGATTGTGACAGAGATGATGGCGGCTACAGCCGAGTGTAACAGTGTTTGAAGCTGTGCAAAGGAGAAGGCCGCAGAGCATTGGTACATTGTCCTTCTGCAGCACAGGGCCAGAGGCATGATCTTCAACATAGAAGAGATTGCGGACTACTTGGCGTGGCAAGAAAACGGCATCATTATGTAAGAAATCAGTAACAAAAGTCATGGCATCGACCACGACACCGTTGTCCCACAGCTCCCAGTGGTCAGAAGCATGTACAATGCCCATGTAATGGGCCAGGTCCGCGCAGAATATATGTATATATATATATAGCCTCCTGATGAGTCGGTGAAACTCCGACGGAAACAGTTTGTCACAGCCCCTCGTTTGTTGTCCTCTTCTCCCTCTCTGCCTACGGTTTACCGGGCAGTTCTATTTGACGATATATATATATTGTCACCGGTAAAACCGTAGGCAGAGAGAGATAAGAGGACAACAAACGATATATATATATATATATATATATATATATATATATATATATAGGCTTCTCTTTATCCCATCCTCTCTTTCAGATCCTGTGCATCTGATTCCTTTATCTCTGTGGGAACCTCTGGTCTTGGTGGCAATTCAAGCCCGGCTAACGATTTCCGCCGCACCATTGCTGGCTTCTGAATCTGAGCCATCGTCTCCATTACAGCTGGCAGTTTTGAGATAACCTCATCTGCGTTCTCCCTGGTTGATTGATCAACAGATTCAATGCTACAACCGCCTTCAGGTTGGCCCTGATGACCTGGTGGCACCCCTGTCGTACCCTTGGCATCATTGCCCTTATCGATAATTTGTTTACGATAAGTTGACAAAGGCGTCTTTGGGGTGCTCTTTCTGTCAGCCGTCTTCTTACAGAACTTCAACACGATTTCGTGGAAGGCTTCTAGTGCTCCGCTAACATCCTCTTTCTGCTGAAGAAGGTTGTTGAAAGCTCCGATGCGCTCCACAAATTCTGATCGCATTGGCTTTGTGAGTTTTGGCCAGTTTATCTCAGCTTGCGCCTGAAAAGAAACGAAACCACAGAGTCAGGTACTTGAAAACGTTCTCAGACCACAATTGGTCAAGGGGGACCCCCACTTTCAGCTCCTGACTAACGGGTCCAAAACTGAAATTAGGGTTTGGGTCCTTTTGGAGTCTTCTTTTTCTTTTTCTTTTCTTTTCTTTTCTTTTCTTTTCTTTTCTTTTCTTTTCTTTCTTTCTTTCTTTTTTTTTTTTTTTTTTTTTTTTTTTTTTTTTTTCCTGGTGCGAGGAACGAGCCCTCACAGAGGCCTCTAGGCTGCGGCTTCCCACTGCCCAAGGGCCCCCCAGCAAGCAATCTCAATTTATTTTATTTTATTTTTTTTCGGGGCGAGGCCTCTGGGCCACGGCTTCCCACTGCCCAAGGGCCCCCAGCAAGCAATGTGCCCGCACTAAGTGAACGCGGGCCAGATTTCAGACATGGGGCCCTAATTTTGTCATTTTTGCATTGAGGGGCGCCAGACAGTTTCCACACGCCAGTTGGTTACAGAGCAATGCCTGTGTGAGCACGACATGTTGAGCCTCAAGGCTCCTTTCAGAACGAAACATATGGCGGTATAGCTTACCATGCTCTGATGGAAGATTCATTCTCATTTTACACATTTGATGAGTGGCGAAGTGAGGCCCTGATTTACCCACTTTTTTTTTCCATTCGTTTTTTTTTTTTATTTATTTAAAATCAGCTCCTCTCTCAATTTCACCTCTCACTACCTGCCTGCCACTGCTGCTGAGTCCTAACCCCTGCAAGCATGGCTGCCTCACTAATTAAGGGGATGCATGTTCGATGCAGTATTGGCTGGACCACATAGTGTCACCCGGTCCATTGTGGACGACTCGGCCCACATGGTGCCACCCGGCCTGCTTCATTTCGCACATCTCCCATGATAAACTCCGTCCGCATGGTGCTGTGCAGTCCATCTGCTCCACATGGGCACTGTTGCGGCGCCTCTCAGCCACATGGCCGGCAGTAAGGAGGAAATGCGGACATTGATTCTTTCTGGTCTGGTCAGGTCTTCTGGTATAACTATTGAAGGGAGGAGGGGGTCTTGGAAGACGCTCCCTCTCATCCCAGCAAAGTGAGGCCCCCCCGATGGGACAGCCTGTGTTCCATTTGCCACGCTTCACCAAATGAGCAAACTGCGATTGATATATTTTTTTTGCTTTTTCTGCTTTTGGGGGGTAGTTCGTCCCGCAGGGTCACATACGGCGCCTGGCCTGCCGCAGCATCGCCGCAGCCCCCCAGTGACTTGTTATTTTAATTTCCATTCTGCATGCATCTGCACAAATGATTTATTTTTATTTTTGATTACTTGAGGTGTTACAGACTGCTGACACCTGACAGACAGCTATATATTAGAACTGGAGCAGCCTACCATTTCTAGTTCTGTTTACCGCTGCTGTTTGAGTACTGATCGAAGTGGGAGTAAGATCATTTGCTTACTCTGTGTACATTCTGTTTGTGTACATTCTGTTCACACCACCTGAATATTAGCCTGGGCGGCTTACCAAATATTTATTTTATTTATGTATTTATTTTGCAACTTGGTCAGACACATGCTGTGGTAGACCCCAGTGAGGACACTAGTAAGGACAGTGATCTGATCTAGCTGATGAGCGGACAACGTGCTGAGGAGGAGAGAGCTGATGACAAGATAGTGACACGACAGACGGCTCGTAGGCTGCCGTATGTGTATCAGGCCTTACCGCCCGGTGTCGGAGGGGGCGATGTCCCGGCCCTCCGTGGTGTACCAGGCACACCTTTCGTGTGGGCGGATTTGCTCGACTGTGAACACAGCGTATTTTACATGCAGGTCACATCAGAGCCATACATCAGGCGGACTACAAGTGCGGCCAGTTCCTGGATTAGTCCCAGTAGGCGCTCCCTCCGGCAAAAGGAGGGGGTGCGCCACTGGGCTTTCCTTTGGTCCACACGCCCGGCGCCCTGCTGTACAGCAGAGTACGACCGTCCCGTAGCTGTGGTAGCCGCCAGGCCCGCCCAGGGATGTGATAGTGACAGACTCGGTGCAGCCTTTTCAACTGAGCGCTGAGCCCCCCTGTGGCTGAGTCATGGGACGCATGCAGGACAGCAGTCACTAGCGAAAAGAAAAGAAAAGGGAAAGAGAATTAGGAAAAGAAAAGGTAGCATCGCTTTTCTGATTGCAGTTTGTTCTAGACCTTTATTTTGGGTCTGTTTAATCCATACTTGCGGCACATCGAAGTGCGCTGGACCACGCACACGCGCCGCACTGCGCACAGAGCACGGGGTGCGGCACACCCTGAAAATAAGGGGTCGAGAAAAAAAAAAAAAAAGTTGGGAAGGGGTGTTTTAGACCCGAGTGGGATGTCGTGTCATAAACCACAAAAAAATATTAACAAAAATTTGAGGCCGCGCGGGGCCTCCGAAAAAAAAAGGGGGGAAGTTCGTTTTTTTGTTTGTGTGTGTGTGTGTGTGTGTGTGTGTGTGTGTGTGTTTTAGATTTTCCCCACAACAGCCCCAATTCCACTCAAGTGAATAGATTCAGAATCAAAGCAGTCTTTATCCTATTGCAGACAACGAGAGCATTTGAGATGTCCAACATATTAAAGCAATTTTATAATTAGACAGTTTTTTGGTTGTTCTTGGGGTACCCCTTTCATTGTTCTTGCAGCTCCCCTTTTACTGTGCCTCTTACGCACATATATGATATACGTGTCCGGAGGAAGTCCCAGCCTATGCAAGTCACCCTGGCAGACGGTCATACGCACAAGTCCATCGACCGGTGCATTGACGCCGTCCCAGTGTACTTTGCCCCTCACGCAAGTGAGGCGGTGTCCTTCGACATTCTGGACACCAAATTCGACATGATCTTGGGCATGTCATGGCTGCGAAGCAAGGATCACCCGGTGAACTTCTTCAACCGCACCGTTCACGTTCGT